CCCCAAAACCCCAAAACCCCAAAACCCCAAAACCCCAAAACCCCAAAACCCCTGATATGGCTTAAATACTGAAATAACTGATAATTTTATAATTTTTTAAATAAATGAACAAAAGTCTCGTTTTAAGCATAATTTCTGTTCTACTAATCACATCCTCCATCGCTCAGGAAGTCAGTACTAATAATGATTGGTGGCTCAGCATCGGAGAATTAGCCGACAAATATGGATATGAGTACGAAGATACCTACGTCACCTCAGAAGATGGGTATATTTCTAAGCTTCACAGAATAAGAGGTCCACTCGGTCAAGACAATTCTAACAGAGAACCATTTTATGCAGTTGCTCCTTTCGCAACATCAGAGGCTGTCTTCTTTTTGCACGGTCCTGAACAATCCCAAGGTTTCCAAATAATTAACGCAGGGTACGACTTCTGGTTCTTGAGCCCAAGAGGAAGCCCAAGCTCAAGAGGTCACATCGACCCAGACATTTCAGAGGCTGACTATTGGCGTTTCGATCTCGTCGATATTTGTCTGGACCATATTGCAGCTTTGACTTATATTGAGGAAGTTACAGGTTACCCACAAGTGCATGCAGACGGTTTCTCCTCAGGAGGATCATCATTAGGTCATGCTATTGCTGTGTATCCTGACTTCTTCAATGCTCATCTCAGATCTGTGCATTACTTGGTCGGAACTATGAACTTTGCTCACTGTACCTTCTATTTGTTCAATTGGTTGGTTGCAGTTCCCGGACTATTGACTACTCTTGAAGACTTCGGCTTCTACGCATTGACTAACATTAATTTCCCTCAACAGATGATCCAAGGACTTATTTGCCAAATGTTTGAAGAGGTTTGTGTAAGAGTAGCCGATGATTTATTACAAATTCTTGATGGCGATAGCGACGATTATAATGCATTCAGTACCTTCTTCTTCAGGTAAGTTAAATACAATGAAGTAGACTAAGTTTTACTGCATTAGAATGTATTCAAATGTCTAAATTCTTGCACCAATTGACTGAAAATAATTATAGAGGAAATGCCGGATACTCAACTCATCTAATTGCTCACTATCTGCAAAGTCTCGTGACAAAGAAAGTAACATATTTCGATTACGGAGAGGAAGGTAACCTCGAAGCTTACGGACATCCCGAGCCACCAAGGATTCAATACGAGAACCATCGTATGCCAGTAGCAATGTATAACGCTGAGGGCGATACAATTGCTGATATTACAGATGCTCAATGGTTTATGGATCAAATCGGAGATGCTCTTGTTTTCTTCCATGAATACCCAAGTTCCGCCCACTTTTCATTTGGTCTCAGAAAGGATATGTATTACCTAGATGACATGTTCGATATTATGTCTCAGTACCCTATTGAAAGAACTAATCAATAATGTTGTCGCCTAATCATTAAGAATTCATTCACATTTTTTTGGTGCAACCATTTATAATTATATTCAATATGAAATGCCCTGAAAGGGGTTTTGGGGTTTTGGGGTTTTGGGGTTTTGGGGTTTTGGGGTTTTGGGG